ACGGATTTACATCTAGGTTCTCAATTCTGTTCCATTGGTCAATGTGTCTATCATTGTACCAGTACCAGGCTGTTTTGACTACTCTAGCTGTATAGTAGGTTCTGAGGTCAGGTAGCATGAGTCCTCCTACTTTATTCTTCTTCTTCAATAGTGCTTTTCTTATCCAGGGCCTCTTCCTTTTCCATACAAAGTTAAGGATTTTTTTTTCATCTCTTCAAAGAATGTTGTTGGTATTTGGATCAGGATTTCATTGTATTTGTAGATTGCATTGGGTAGAATTAACATTTTCACAATGTTGAGTCTATCTATCCATGAGCATGGTATGTTTTTCCATTTTTGTAGAATTCTTTTGGTTTCTTGCAGTAGTGTTTTGTAGCTTTCTTTGCACAGGTCTTTTACATCCCTGGTTAGATTTATTCCTAAGTATTTTATTTTTTTTAGGGGCTATTATAAATGGTATTGTTTTCCTGATTTCCTTTTTGTCGTTCCCTAATTGGTGTATAGGAATCCAATGGATTTTTGTATGTTTATCTTGGATCCTGCTACTCTGCTGAATCTTTCTATTAGTTCCAGTAGTTTTCTCATGGACTCTTTTGGGCTGTCTATATATAGTATCATGTCATCTGCTGTTTGAATACCCTTTATTTCTTTTTCTTGAATTATTGCTGTAGCTAGGATTTCCAGCACAATGTTTAAAAGGAATGGTGATAAAGTGCATCCTTGTCTTGTTTCTCTTCTCAAGGGGAATATTTTCAGCTTCTCTCCATGATGTTGGCTGTTGGTTTTTCATAGATTCCCTTTATTATGTTGAGGAATTTCCCTTCTATACCTATTTTATTGAGAGTTTTTATCAGGAATAGGTGTTGGACTTTGTCAAATGATTATCATGTGATTCTTTTTTTTTATGTAGTGGATTAAATTGATTTTCTAATATCGAACCATGCTTGCATAACTAGTATGAATCCTACTTGGTTGTGGTGTATTATTTTCTTGATATGATGCTGAATTCTATTAGCTAGAATTCTGTTGAGAATTTTTGCGTCTATATTCATGTGAGATATTGGTCTGTAATTTTATTTTTTTGTAGTGTCTTTGCCTGGTTTTGGTATTAGGGTTATGCTGCCTTCATAGAATGAATTCGGAAGTGTTGCTTCCTTTTCTATGTTCTGAAATAGTTTAAATAGTACTAGTGTAAGCTCTTCTCTGAATGTTTGGTAGAATTCTCCAGTGAAGCCATCTGGGCCAGGGCTTTTTGTGTTGGAAGGTTTTTTTTATTACCTTTTCAATCTTTTCTCTTGTCATGGGTTTGTTCATATTTTCAATATCAATTTGTGATAATTTGGTTAGGTAGTGTGTTTCTAGAGATTTGTCCATTTCCTCTAAATTTTCACATTTGTTGGACTATAGTTTTTCATAATACTCTGTTATGATCCTTTTTATTTCAGTTAGGTCTGTTGTAATGTCCCCCATTTCATTTCTTATTTGCATTATTTGCCTCCTCTCCTGCTTTTCCTTTGTCAGCCTGGCTAGTGGTTTGTTGATTTTGTTGACCCCTTCAAAGAACCAACTTTTGATTTTTTTGATTCTTTTTATTGTTTTCTATTTTCTATTTCATTTATTTCTGCTCTGATCTTTATTCCTTTCTTCTGGTGGCTGTAGGCTTCTTTTGCTGTTCTCTTTCTATTTGCTTAAGTTGTGTAGCTAATGTTTTGATTTTGTCCCTTTCTTCTTTTGCGATGTGTGCATCTATTGCTATAAATTGTCCTCTGAGGACTGCCTTTGCTGTGTCCCAAAGGTTTTGACATGATATGTTTTCATCCTCATTTGATTCTAGGAACTTTTTTATTCCATCTTTGATTTCTTCTACTACCCAGTGGTTTTTAAGCAGGGTATTATTCAGTTTCCATGTAATTGATTTTTTTTCCTTGCTCTTCCAGTTGTTAATTTCTACTTTGATGGTTTTGTGATCAGAGAAGATACTTTGTATTATCTCAATGTTTTGGATTTTGTTGTAGGTTGCTTTGTGTATTCTGGGAAATGTTCCATGTGCATTGGAAAAGAATGTGTACTTTGCAGCTCTTGGGTGGAGTGTGCTATGTATGTCTATGAGTCCATGTTATTTGTGGCCTTTAGCTCTTCTGTATCTTTGTTGAATTTCTTTCTAGATGTTCTGTCCTTTACAGAGACTGGTGTGTTGAAGTCTTCTACTATTATAGTGGAACTGTCAATTTCTCTTTTCAGTGTTGTTAGAGTTTGTTTTATGTGTTTTGGAGCCCTGTCATTGGGTGCGTAGAAATTTATTATGGTTATGTTTCTATGATGGATCATCCTTTTAATCATGATATAGTGCCCTTCTTTGTCTTTTATGCCAGATTTTGTTTTAAATTCTATTTTATCTGAGATTGGTATTGCCACTCCTGCTCTTTTTTGGTGGCTGTTTGCTTGATATATTTTTTCCATCCTTTAATTTTTAATAAATACACATCTTAGTTTCTAAGATATGTCTCTTGTAGACAGCATAATGATGGATCCTGTTTTTTAATCCTTTCTCACTCTCTGTCTCTTTATGGGTGCAGAGACACCATTTACGTTCAATCTAATTATTAATAGGTGTGAGTTCATTGCTGTCATTTTGTGGTGATGACGATTTCTTTGTTCCTCTTACTCTCCTGTGCTGAATTCCTTTCGTTTGTGGATTTTTTTCATTTCTTTTGTTTTTGTAGATTTTGTTTTTACTCAGACTTTATGCTTTTCTTCTTTATTCTGACGAGTAGTTTTGTTAACTTTCTTTGTGGTTACCTTGAAATTTACCCTTATCTTCCTAGGTTTGAACAAGTCTATTATTATTTGGTATTGCCTTGCCTTTCTCTCCATTAGAAAGTTTTATACTTACACCATTTGTTCCCTCTTTTATTGCGCTGACATTTTTGTAATTTGCAGATTAACCTCTCTGGTTCCTTGTTTTAATCTTTTCGTTTTGAATAGTGCTTGAGAGTTCATTTCCTAGGCTGGTATATGGTTGGTGCCATCTTGTGTCCTAGATTCTGGCTGTCATCTGATGTTGTTTGTTCTCAAACTGAAGGACTCCATTTAATAATTCTTGTAAGTTTGGTTTGGTTTTTAAATATTCCCTTAATTTCTGTTTATCAGGAAATGTCCTAATGTCACCATCATATTTGAATGATAGTTTTGCAGGATATATTATTCTTGGCTGGTAATCTTTTTCTTTCAAGGTTTTATATATGTCATCCTATTGCCTTCTTACCTGCATGGTTTCTGCTGCATAATCAGAGCTTAGTATTATTGTTTCCCCTCTGTATGTGACTTTCCATTTTTCTCGAGCTGCTCTCAGGATTCTTCTTTGTCTTTGGTTTTAGCAAGTGTGATTATGATATGCCTTGGTGATTTTCTTTTGGGGTCTATCCCATATGCAGTTCATTGAGCTTCTTGGATGGTCAGCTTTTCATCTTTCAAGATATTAGAGAAGTTTTCTGTCAGTAATTCTTCGATGATCCTCTCTGTGTTTTCTATTTTCTCCTCCTGTTTTGGAACTCTGATCACTCGCACATTTTTGCTTTTGATTGTATCCCACATAAGTCTCAGGGTTTCTTCATTTTTCTTCATTCTTTTTTCTGATTTTTCCTCAAAGTTGTATCCAAGTGTTTGTCTTCAATTTCACGGATCCTGTTTTCCATTGTTTCAAACCTGCTCCTCAGCCCTTCTATGACACTGTCCATTTGTGAAGTCTTGTTGTTTATCTTTTGGATTTCTAATTGTTGTTTTTGTATGGTTTCTAGTTGTGAATTTATTTTGGCATTTTGTTCCTGTGTTATTTTCCTGAATTCTTCCATTTTTTTGTCTGTCTTTTCCATGATTTTGTCTGCCTTTTCCATGAATTTGTTTATTTGTTTCCTCATTTTTGTCTGCTTTTTGCTTCAACTCTTGGATAGCTCTGACTATTAGAGATTTGAATCCCCTGTCAGGTAGTTCTAGTGCCTTTTCCTCTACTGGAAAGTCATCTGGTGTTTTATTTTGGATGCCTACTGGAGCCATCCTGTCCTGTTTTTTTAATATGTTTTGATATTGTCTGCTGTCTTCAGGAAATTCAGTAGTTATTTTCTTCATTTACTGATTGTAGATTTGTTTGTTTTGTCCTGCTTTTTTGTTTTATTTGGTTATGTCTGAGCAGGCAGACTGTGCATTCTTTGTTGTTTGCTCATCTGTGGACATGATATTTTTCACTTCCTTATCCAGTGGAAAGGGCCAGTTGCTCAACTATGGTGCAGCAGGGCAGGTCCAGCTGAAGGGCAGGGGCTGGGATGGGTTTGTGGCATGTACTGGGGCTGACAAGGTGAGTCGGGGGTTAGTGCAGGGCAGGTTCCAGTAGACCGTGCCTGTGCTGCTCAGGAGTGCAATGTTCAGCACATGGTGCAGATAGGCAGGAGACAGGGGTAAGGGAAGGTTGTGATGTGTGGAGCTAGGTTGGGTATGGAAAAGTAGAGAGAGAAACAGGAGCCAAAAAAAAAAATGCTGAGGTAGCCTGCCATTGGATTGGAGAGACAAGAAACCGAGAAATGCAGGGGAAAGAAAGAAAGAAAAAAATATAGAAATTTAAAAGAAAATGCCCCCAGGGATCCCACCAGCGCAGCTGCGCAGACTGGGAAAGCAGCTCCGTGGCAGCGCAGTACAGCCGGGCTAGAAGGGGTTGAGATAATAGACAGCACCAGGTATTCAGGAGACAGGAAAAGAAGGTGTCTTAGTCATCTAGTGCTGCTCTAACAGGAATACCACAAGCAGATGGCTTGAACAAAGAAAAATTTATTCTCTCACAGTCCAGTAGGCTACAGGTCCAAATTCAGGGCATCAGCTCCAGGAGACTTTCTCTCTCTGCTGACTCTGGAGGAAGGTCCTTGTGATGCATCAGTCTTCCTTTGGTCTGGGAGCTTCTCTGCACAGGAACCTCAGGTCCAAAGGATGTGCTCTGCTCCCAGCACTGCTTTCTTGGTGTTATGAGTTCCCCCTGTGTCTCTGCTCACTTCTCTCTTTTATATCTCAAAAGAGATTGGATTAAGATACTAATCTTGTAAACCTCATCAGTATAACCTCATCATAGTGATAGAGTTTACAACACATAAGGAAATCACATATAACCTCATCATAGTGTTAAGAGTTTACAACACATGAGGAAATCACATCAGATTTACAAAATGGTACACAATCATATAATACTGGGAATCATAACCCAGTCAAGTTGACAGATATTTCTGGGGGACACAATTCAATCCATGACAGAAAGTAAGTAGAAAGAGATGAGAAACTGAGAAATGAAGAGAAATAAAAAGGAAAAAAAAAAACAAGAAAACAAACAAACAAAAAAGGAAAACAAAAGCCCCCGGGGATCCCACCAGTGTGGCAGCATGGACCAGGGAAGGAGTTCCCAAGCTAAGCAGTGCTTCACAGCCTGTCAACAAGAAGCAAAGATGGCACACAGAGTCCAGTGTTCAAGAGAAAGGAAGGGGAGGTGAGAGGCAGGGAAGAAACCAAAAGACGCCAAAAAAAGCAACACCAGCAACAAAGAAATGGCATTAAGGAAGCTGGCCGGTATGGGCGGGGCAAGTCTGAGAGACACAGAACCAGCGCCTCCCCTGCCATGGTTCTGGCCCATGGGAAGTGGCAGATCCACCCCTCGGGAAGCGGCAAAGGTCAAGCAGGGGGTAGAAGGGTAGTGGTGGGAAAACATGTATCGCTGGTTACCGTGTGCTCTGTCTCCTGATGGGAGCTCCGTGAATCTACTTTCCTGTACTCCCTGTCTGCCAATCTCTGGCAGGAGTCCAAGATGGTGGATCTGTGCTGCGTTAGCTGATAGGGGACATCTGCTGTAACTCTCCTCTTTCTCTGTTCTCTGTCAGTTTCTTATTCCATTTGATGCTTGGTTGAGTTCTTTATTTCTTCATTTGACACTTAGGGTTCCAGGATTGATGTTTGTCTCTGTTTTACTTAGTTTTTCTAGTCTTTGCTGTGGAGGGATGGCAAAGTACTTCTGTCGATAGTGCCATGTTGACTCTGCCTCTTGCAATTTGATTTAGTTGCCAAAATTTTCAAATGGCAATTTTCACCATACAACCCAATTTTCAAATTATCTTTAAAAAATAAATTAAATTGTGGCACCTCGTGTTGCTCATTCTTGATAGGGTCCATTGACCAACCTGAGCTTCAATTGCTCCTCATGTGCAATGCTCTCTTTCTTCCACCTGACACTGATGTAATTTTCAATTGCTATTCACCTCAATATCCATTATACTTTCCAGTTTCTACATTGTATCACTTATTTTGTTATTGCCTGGCTCTACGAAGCATTTAAACTTTCATTCTCTGAGTTAGGCCACCCTAGCAGGTAAAAATGTTAGGTGTAGGTCTTGACCCAAAGATAGGTCTTGAGAAATTAGTTGGTGAAATATAATTTTATATACACTTAACATATAACATGGCAGCTTAGTACTGCCATATAGCTCCACCTAAATTTCAAGGTTTCCTTGTTTTTAGAAAGCTCATGCCAATGGTGTCCCCCATAAATCGGTGCCCTCCGTGCTGTTGTCTCTTCAATGGCTTCATATCTGGGGAAAATTTTAATTCTTCCCATCATCTTCAGTGGGATATAAACTCTTACGAGGAGTTTTTTTCTGTTTTTTGTTTTTTTTCTTCTTCATTGAAATGTTCTTCTAAATGATCTCTGGTTTTTTCTGGGTATATATAGCCTTCTATCACATGTGCCATTGAACACATTTCTAGAAGTGTTTTACTTCCTCCTCTTTGACTGGCTAACTTCTAGTCTTCTCCTTTCAAGAGGAAACAAGAGTGGATGTTTCTTCTTGTGCTTCTGCAGTGCAATAATTTTTTTTGGCCTTTGCCCTTGGTTTCTGGAAAAATAATTTAGGGGATTTCCTATGTAACTGACCACCCCTGTGGATTTGTTAGAGACCAGTCTAGCTAGGGAGACTTTCAGGTAGCTGACAAGGAGCACATGGAATTGGCTTATAAAAAGGCCTTAGAGAGAATTTTTCTCCTAGACCTGCCCTGATCAAGTGCTGCTCTGATTGAGAGCTGTGCTGGCCAGGAGCTTTTTGCTCTGAGAGTCGTTCTGACCAAGAGCTATTCTGGCTGACAGCTTTCTGCTCTTAGAGTTTTCTGACTGAGAGATGTCCTGGCCAGGAACTTTTTGCTCCAAGAGCTGTTCTGACCAAGAGCATTTCTGCGCCAAGAGCTGTCCTGCTCTGTGAGCTTCCCTGGTTGACTAAGGGAGGAATGTGATTTCCACTTCGGGAACCCCTCCAGGTGTTGTCCGAGTACCTCTTCCTGACACTCACCCTGGGTTGTAATCTGTTACTCTTGAATTGTATCTGTTTACACAAATAAACTACATAACCATAAGAATAATCCAAGAGCTCTGTGAGACATTATGGCAAATTATCAAACCCAGCAGAGAGAGTGCTGTGAAGGATAGGCCGGTGTCACTGATAATAGAGAAGTTGGAAAGTGAAAATATACTTGACCTCTGCCTTTTAGGAACTAGCTTTATGCTGATTCTTATTCACAAAATTATCTGTTTAGCTTCATTATCATTCTTTCCATTCAATTTTCATTGCATATATTTGCATTTAAAATTGTCTATTATTTTTCTCTTTCATAGTGATGTGGGGTATAAAATCCAAAGAGGCATCTGACCTAAAGTAAAATGGCTGAGCTAATGCTAAGGCTCAGTATAAACTTTCACACAGATTCAAACCTTGTTGCTTTAGAATCAACCCTATCATTAAGGAAATGCTTTTCTTTGTGATCAGGCTAAGAATGTGTATACAATGTCTGTAACCAAAACTCTTTGTACAGATCTCCCCAGGAGATCTTATGCTCTGGGTAAGGTAATTTTTAACCTCTTCCTGAAAGTGTCCAACATGCCACTGTTTTGTGACCAGTTATGAGAACCTCTTCTCGACCACATAATTATCTCTTTTAGCCAATCAACGTATGCCAGTTGTATTAATATAACCAATAATGTTAAAAATCACACTTCCTTTTCCCTCCTTTAACTGACCTCAGTCACTGTAAACCAATCAGAGTATTGAAGCCCCGCCAGCACCGTTCTTTGTTTCAGCCCTATTAAAACGTCTTTGTAATTACTGTTTCTTGGACTTCACAGCTCCATTTTGATGGGCCGTGGGGATCCCCAGTTTGAACTCCCTTGAACCTTTAATAAACCTCTTTATTTTAATTCAGTTTAGACTGCAAGTTTTTCACATGTCAACAATTGTAATGTGAAAACTCCTTGAAGCCTGGGACCCTAACTTATTCTGTTATTCATGATCTAGCCCTCTGCCTGGCACACTACTGTTATTGAAAAAGTATCTATATATGTGCATGACACGATGAATGATTTACTTAATGATCCAAAGCAAAGTCTGCCTTTTATGTCTGGAGTGAAAAATAAAAAAAAGAAAGACTTCTCTGAGGCAGTCATGCTCTTAGAACTTGTAATATGTAGAATATAAACTCCACAAAGCAGGGATTTGGGCTGTTGTGTTCACTGCCATGTTTCCAGGGCTAGAACAGCACCTGGCACATGGCTCAGTAAATATATCTTGAAAAGGAGTGCATGACTGAATGAAGAAATAAGTGACTCTCCTTATGCTGTCTTCTGCATGGTCACTAACCCTTCCTTCTACTGGCCTTAACACCCTGAAAAAGACCCACAGATTCTTAATTGAAAAGACACAGATAAGTTTTGGTCACTTTACCTTGCACAATTAGACAGAGACCAGTGCACAATCTCTCCATTTGTGAATAGTGGTTAAGATTTCGGCTACTAACCAAAAGTTCGGCAGTTCGAATCCACCAGGCGCTCCTTGGAAACCCTATGGGGCAGTTCTACTCTGTCCTATAGGGTCACTATGAGTCAGAATCGACTAGACGGCAACCTTTCTTCCCCCCAGTGCTTTTTGCTTCGATTGAATCAAAATATCTGTGTTCAATACTTGTTTGCATATTCTCCTTCAATGCTAACCCAAACAATATTGATGCCCATCAAGAATTAGGGCAGTGAGACTTCAGGCAAAATGGCGCTCTAGGCAGGAGCACCATGCCATTCCTCCACAGCAAACATCTGAAAAACTAAGCCGAACAGAGAAAACAACAATCCTGAAACCCTAAAACATCAAATGAAGAGGTAAAGACCTCAACCAAGCACCAAATGGAGTGAGAAAACTGACAGAGAACGGAGAGCAAGAAGAGATTCATGCAGAGGTCCCCTATCAGCTAACGCAGCTCAGATCCACCATCTTGGACTCCGATCAGAGACCAGCAAACAGGGGGTACCAGAAAGCAGGTCCACGGAGCTTCCAGCAGGAGACAAAACAACCAGTAATTTCTGATATACGCTTTCCCACCCCCCACCCTTCTTCACCCCCACTCGGCCTCCTCTGCTTCCCGCGGCCACAGTCTCTTGTCCAGGAAGCACTGGTTGCTTGGATTCCACCCACCTGAACGGGCCGGCTCTCTGAGTGCCATTTGTTGGTTGCTGGTGTTGCTTTTTTCTGCTTCTTTTGATTTCTTCCTTACCTCTCACCACCTCCCCCTCCTTTTGCTCAAATACCTGGCTCCGCAAGCCATCTGCCCTTCTTCCTGAGGGGCTGCGGAGCTCCGTTCGAGTGTGGAGCTGCTTCCTGGTCTGGGCTGCCATGCTGGTGGGATCCCGGGGCTTTTGTTTGTTTGTTTGTTTTCATTTTCTTCAGTTGGGAGCCTGTTCTGGCCAGGCAGTGCTGCATGGCTTGGAACCTACCCCTTCAAGCTTGCACAGACGTGCAGAGGGACCCCTGAATACATTTCTTTTTTCGTTGGTTTTTTTTCCTTTTTTCCTGTTTTTTGGCGGCTTTTCTTGTTTTTTTTTTTAATTTGTTTTGTTTTCTTTTCCCTCTTTCTCCCTTTTTGTCTTTCTTCTTTACTCAGTTTCTTGTCTCTATATCTTCCATCTCTTTCTATTCCCTGAATATCTAGGGTTGTATACCTCTATGCCTTCTAGCCAGGCTGTACTGCAACACCTGAGAACAACTTCCCCAGACCTCATAACTGCACTGGTGGGATCACTAGAACTTTGCTGTTTTTTTCCCTTTCCAATTTTTATTTATTCATTCTTTTCTTTTTTTCCATCATCTTCCCCTTTTTGTTTTTCTCAGTTTCATAGTCTCTCATCTCTCCAGTCCAGTGGCAAGCTCCCCTAGCATTCTTTTTTGTTTGTTTGTATGTTTTTGGCTCCTATCCATCTCTCCTCTCTTCCATATCCCTCTTAGCTCCACACATAACAATCTCCCCACTGCATCCTGCCTACCTGCACTGTGTGCTTGACATCACACCACCAAACAGCACAGGCACGGCCTACTGTAACCTGCCCTGCACTGATTACTGATCCGCCCTGGTGGTTGTAGTAAGTGCCACAAACAACCCATCCCAGTAACTCCTCTTCAGCTAGACCTGCCCTGCCATACCATATCTGAGTGACTGACCCTGCCAATTGGAGAAGGAGGTGAAAAGTATTGTGCGCACAGATGAGCAAACAACAAAGAACACACAGCCCGCCTGCTTGGACATAGCCAAATTTTTTTAAAAAAGGAAGAAACAAACAAATCTACAATCAATAAATGAGAAAAATAACTACTGAATGCCCCGAAGACAGCAGACAATATCAAAACATTTACAAAAACAGAACAGGATGGCTCCAGTAGGCATACAAAATAAAACACCAGACAACTTTCTAGCAGAAGAAAAGGCACTAGAACTACCTGCTAGGGAATTCAAATCTCTAATACTCAGAATTCTCCAAGAGCTGAAGCAAAAAGCTGACAAACATGAGGAAAAAATAGACAAATTCATGGAAAATACGACAAAAAATTGGAAGAATTCAGGAAAATAATGCGGAAACAAAATGCCAAAATAAATTCACAAATAGAAATTATACAAAAACAACAATTAGAAATCCAAAAGATAAACAACAAAATTTTAGAAATGGATGGTGTCATAGAAGAGCTGAGAAGCAGATTTGAAACCGTGGAAGACAGGATCAGTGGAATTGAAGACAAACACTTGGATACAACTCTGTTTGAGGAAAACTCAGAAAAAGAACAAAGAAAAATGAAGACACCCTGAGAGTTATGTGCGACACAATCAAAAGCAAAAATTTTCGAGTGATTGGAGTTCCAGAACAGGGGGAGAAAAGAGAAAACACAGAGAGGATCATTGAGGAACTGCTGACAGAAATCTTCCCCAATATCATGAAAGATGAAAAGCTGGCCGTCCAAGAAGCTCAACAAACCCCATATAGGATAGACCCAAAAAGAAAATCACCAAGGCATTGCATAATCACACTCGCCAAAACCAAAGACAAACAAAGAATCCTGAGAGCAGCTCGTGAAAAACAGAAGTCACATACAGAGGAGAAACAATAAGACTAATCTCAGATTATTCCACAGAAACCATGCAAGCAAGAAGGCAATGGGATGACATATATAAAATCTTGAAAGAAAAAAATTG